ACAGAGAACCTTTCTCCCTTCTTTCTAGTCCCCTGAATCGGAGTGTGAGGCCCCTCAGGGTCAGACAGGGAACGGAGGGAGTGCCCTTTCTCCACATTGCAGGTTAGAAGGCTCTCTGGGCTCCTGTTCTGAAATTACAGGGCTGCAACCAGGAAAATAGCCAGGTCAGCTTTCTGGTTGCCTTCCCCCAATTCCATCAGGCCAAGAAATATTCCTGCGAGACCACACAGGACTGAGGCCCCAGTTTCCCAACAGGACTTGAGAGAACATCCATCCCTCCAGCAGCCAGCTGGGCAGGGGCAGGCAGCTAGGCCTCTGCAAGTCAAGGAGCTTGAGGGGTGCAGAGATGGCAACTTGGGGGGAAGTGACGATTGAGAGCTCCTGGGAGCTAAGAGGCAGGGCGGGAGAGGGTCCTGGTGCTCACTGGGGCAGGGCAGTCAAGAGCAAGGGTGAAAGCAGGAGAAAGGAGCTCACAGAAAACGACACATTTGAATCTGCATGTTCACTAGAGAAGAGAGTTCTGAACTGGAAAATTATCTCTCGATGCTCCCTCTCTCCTTCCCACATCATCTGTTCATTTCTCTCTTCTCCACCCCACTCGCTTTTCACATTCAGGTTTCGTGAGTCCACCCCCCACACACACACACACTCCAATGCCTGGAGAGGAAAAATGATTTTTATTGCTATTACACTTTCTACCGCAAGATGCAGCGCAAGGCGGCGGAGTTTGTATTACAACTATGTCACAATGTTTCACTGATGCAAAACATGTAGCCAGAGGGTGTTGCTAATGACTCCTGGATTAGAATGATTGAAACTGGGAAAGGGAGAAAGAAAGAGAACAGGAGACAGAGGAAGGGTGGAGTGCGAAGATTTCATTAAAGAAGGGCGGAAATCACCGTATAATCAGGTCTAATAATCTAATCAGGATATTTTCAGATTTCAAGGTTCTCTCCATCCTCGAGAGTGTGACCCGGAGAGAAACTCTTATCCTTTTAAATACCAGGAAAGGTTTTTGTTTTTGTTTTGTTTTGTTTTTTTGCATGTTAATAACTATTAATAATGTTTACAGCCAGTTAAGTAAGGAACACCCTTTTGGAAAGAATCAAATTTGGAAACCGCCTACTATTATTAGATTAAAATTGTTTCCTGGAGTTGAGGCCTGCAGAGGCCTTTTGGAGAGAAGGAACCACCCAAGGGTGCCCGGAGCGCAGGGCGGCCCCAGAAGCTCCAGGCTGGAGCCCCTCATCATGCACACAACCTTGCTGACGCCTGTCACGACCTGGTGGTCCGCAGGGTACCCGTCCTGCCGACCGTGGCCGAGCCCCTCGGCTCAGCCGGCCTGCATTCGATCCGTTGGGGGAAAATGTCCCTCCGGGCTCGGAGCTCCCCGGTGCCCTCCCGCGGGACCAGCTACTAAAGGAAGCGTGAGGTTTCGCGGTTCCTACCGTGACCCAGGCCGGTCCCACCGCCCTGCAGTCCGCTTCTGCACCCCGGGGCACCACGGGCAGGGCATTCCCTCGGGGCTGCGGCCCCTTGAACCCGGGGAGCCCTGCGCTCCCTCCCGGACGCACGGAGCTCGCTCGGGGCCGGGCTTCCGAGCCGAGTGTGGGTGGCGGGTGGGGTGGAAGGGGATGGGGGAGGCGGGCGGGGTGGAGGGGCGGGGGCGGGAGCCGGGCGTTAAGCCTGGAAGCTTGGCTGTTTACCCAAATGATTTCCCTTTCAGGCCGGAGACGCCAATGAGACAAGATCAAACTCCCCTCCTAACAGTGCGTGTGGTGTGTGTCTGTGTGTATGCGTGTGTGTGCGTGCGTGCGTGCGTGTGTGTGTGTGTGTGTGTGTGTCCTTTCCCAAGTAGGGCTTTGTGAATGGGGGTCCAGGCCGCCAGCTTGCAGGGACCCGAGGCCGACTCGGCCACCAGCGCCTCCTCCCGGGGGCTGGGAGAAGCCGAACGCGGGGAGCGCCCCGGGCGCGCAGTGGCCAGGAGAGCAGCGGCGAGCTCAGAGCCGCGTCTCCAAAGGACAAGTGAGCACGGAGACGCTTGGTCGCCTGTGCAAGGGTGAGGGGAACACTGTGAATCACATGCTTCTTCAGGATTTCTGATCCCCCTGAAGTTTGTATCTACCTGCTTAGGCCACTGCTTTCTCCCTGGATCCCTCGCCCCAGATCTGTTAGCTGCATATTAGGTCAAGGTTAGCTGCACATTAGGTGCGATAACGGAACAGTGCAGGCCGCGGGACGCGCAAGGCGGGACCTGCGCCCAGGGTGCTTCTGTGCATACTGCAAAAATGGTTAGAAATCATGAGAGGCGGAGGAGTCGTTCTGAACAAAACATTTGTCATTTTTTAGCGAACCCAGACCCAAGAGGGGATGATTGGAGGAGAGGCAAGGAGAGAGGGCCTGGTGCGGTCTGAATCCTGGGTGTGGGTCCTACGGCTGTTGGTTGGGGGCCTTTGACACTGAGATGTTCGTTTACAAAACAGTACCAGCAGCATTATTAGTATTATTGATATTAAAACGAAACAGAAGGTGGAGTTGTGTTTATTTGTGATGATTAAACGACTGTTAAAACACGGTTACATGGACGTGGTAGCTATAGTCATAATTTCTACCACTCCTTTCTAGGGTGGAGGGTGATCCAAGGCTTGCTTACCCAAAGAACTGTTTCTGGAAGGAAAAAGTGGCATCCCAAAGTTTGTGACTCTCCGTGTATGGGTTCTCTGGCCTCCAAATGCTTCGGAGTGGGCTCCCATCCTTCCCACCCAAGCATTATTTCACTTAAAGGTTCCTTTAGAAAGAAGAAAGAAGAAAGAAAGAAAGAAAGAGAGAAAGAAAGAAAGAAAGAAAGAAAGAAAGAAAGAAAGAAAAAGAAAGAAAGAAAAAGAAAGGAAGGAAGATGGATCATAACGTCCCTTCTCAAGATGTTCTTGTTTAACTAAAATTCCCTCTCAGAATGCTGGCCTGGGTAAGGCATATTAGGGACCTCCAGGCACTTGCTTCAGGTCTCTGAGCCCAGCTCTGGTGGCCCAGGCCTGGAGGAGGGGCTGCCAGATTTTCTCCAGTCACTGGGTGCCCTGCGACCAGGGCTCAGAGGGTACAGACACAGATAATGTGTCGCTGGGGCCCCTTGAGGATCTAGTTATGGTGTTTGGTCTGGGATAAATGAGTGTGAAGCAGTGGACACTCTTGGGGAAAGCAGGCAGACCTAGTAATGGTTAAGGAAAAGGACAGTTGACATTTATTGACAGCTTACTATGTGCCACTCTGTCCACCCCTCAGAGCCTCCATATCCGAAGAGGAACTGAGCTGGCCATGGTCAGGCCTGGAAGCTCCGTGGAGGGACAGGGCTGGGGGATTAAGGTTTGTACCTCTCAGCAAACTCCCACTCCAACCTTACAGAGTGTTGCAGGCACCCAAGAGCCAGCCCATGAAACCTCTCCGTGGGGCTACAGTCTCGGTCTGTCCTCTGTGGCCCCAGGTTTCTGGCCTGGGAGAGAGAAACCAAAGCGCTGTAGTTAAGTTCTTTCTTTTAAGCGCAGGAATCTCCAGAGAAAAATAGTCTGGGCCCCGAGGGCCACAGGGGCCAGACCTAGGCAGAATGGGACCACAGAAGCCATGGGTCAGGTCTCCAACAAGGCCAGGCCTGTGTCCAGCACCTCCTGGGGCCCAGGGCTGCTCCCGTGTGAGCTTCGCCTCCCTTGGGTGCCAGGGGGCGCTTGAGTGACTCCAAAGCCTCACCAGCCAAAGAGGGCCTTGTGGCATTCATGGCCCTGTGTGCGTCCTCGTGGGGAGGAGGGGACAAGATCACCAAGGTCAGGTGGCTCCTCCTGCCCCAGGCTGCTGGGCTTCTCCAGCCTTGTCCCAGGCTGCAGAGTGGGCTTTTACTCTATTCTCCACCATCTCTCCCATCCCCCTAAAGCAAGGAGGTGACACTAGCTGGTGGTGACCCCAGGAGGCCCCAGGCTGTGCCCCAAGAGGGTAGAGGAAAACAGGCCGCCAGCTCTGTCTGGAGACAAAAGGCCTCCACACTCTGGCTCCTCAAGACCTGGTTGCTGCACCCCGGAGTACACAGAGGCGGCAGGGGCAGGCTGAAGGTCGGTGAAGGAGCAGCTCAGGGCTGAGAACACTTTCTTTCGATCTGTAAACTGAACACTTCCGAGTCCGAGGGCATAAACAAGGTCTAGATGTGCCCCAGCACCCATTCTTGCATAAAGACCCTCACCTTCGTTGGTGTTTGTTTCTCCCCCTTTTCCTAGCTGCAAATCACCTGGATTGAGGAAAGACTGGGTCCTTAAGAGCGAAGGCCTATTTTACTCTTTAAAAAGTAATCTGCTTTCCTCCTTCCCTACTGGCCTCAGTGAGGGAGACTTCACTGGTTTTAACAATAGAGAAGAAAAAAACTCTCAAGCCTTTAGAGTGAGAGGAATAGCACCCCACACAGTCCCTGCTGCCCTGGCAAGCGGGTTCCCCCAGTAGAAACAGTGTCTTCCTCCAGTCTGTCATGTATCCCTCACAAACAACCGGGGTGTGAGAAATATCCCTGGCCTAAGACTATTGATAGATGATAGCAGTGATATTTACAATCGATCCTTTAATAGTCAGACGTCATAAATCATGCTCAACGTTCTGCCAGCCCAGTACTTCACTTAATAATATAATTAAGATTAAAACTCCAGAGGTACCGGTGGTGGCAGGTATTGATAGCTTCCAGCCTTGCATCGGGACATGAAAGTGGGACACAGTGGGAGCTTTGGCAAACAGGGCCCTTTCTCATGAGGTGCATCTTCCCAGTCCTCTCTGGGGCCGTGGCCCTACCTGGACACACATGCCTCTTTTTCCCTACCAGGAAGGCCTGAGCACAGTCGCCCGGTGTGTTTTCTCAGAAGGCAGACAGGAAGGAGTAGAGTTTGGCTTTGCTGTATTTCCAGAATTTAGGGAGCTTTTAGAAATTTACTGTAACAGCCTCGAATATGCAATTAAAAAAAATAACATTCAGGAGATATTGGAAACAATGTTTTGCTCTTTTAACAGTTAAATTGCTTTTGAAAAGATTCAAAATTACATATAAAGAGCTGAACACAAGAAAATATATCAAGTCAACCCCATTTTCTTCCAAGCTGCTTCTCAGTGAAAGCCACAGAACTCAGGACAGAAACCACAACTTCAAGTGAAGAGTAAAGTCAGAGGAGCAGGGTCCTGGGCAGGGGTGGACGTCTCCTCTTTTCATCCTGAGTGGTGCCGATTGTAAGTACCGCTGAAATGATTTCCAAGAGTGGAATATTAATCAAATCAATCAGAGCTGACAAATGAGAAATACCCAAAAGTCAGTGGTAATTTACAACTTTGTTATTAGTTAAGAATCGCCCGTCTTATAACAGTAATTAATAATGCTTCGAGAGGAACCATTTGGAAATCCCCTTTCTGTTCTTTTCATTTTCTTTTGCCTCTTAAGGAAGGAAAGAGAGAAAGGAAGCAAATGAGCGATCAGTAGAAACAGGAAAAACACGGACTGGTCGGTGAGGGGAACAAAACTAGAAAGCAGCAAAGAAAGGGAAAAAAGATTAACCCCATGGGAGGCCATCAGGAAATAAAAGAAATACAGGAGGAGGGGCAGTAAATCAGAAAATGAATTCTGTAAGCATACGCCATGAGCAGGTTGGCTAAAGGTTGAATTTCAAATGGCCCAGAAACCCCATCAAAATGAACAGTGCTGCTAAAATATCTGGAGAGTAGCTCAGCTAGGATCCAGGCAGAGCTCCGAGTATTGTCTGTTTTGTTGTTGTTAACAATGTATTTCTTTATAGCCCAGGAGCAGACGTGTGCAGGCTCTTTTTCCCAAATTCCATCCCTGGAGACCGACTGGCTTTCATGTTTCTGTTGTCTACTCTCTTGGTCATAGACAGGCCCCCTCCATTTCCCCACACTCATCTTACATTGATTATTACATTGTTTCGGCCCCACCTAAACCACATACCAAAATAATGACTTGGTGAAAAACGATAAATCATTTCAGCATCAGAGTTTGTAAAACCATTTCAGTCAACAGGCTCGCTGTGAAAATGTGGAAAAACTCCTGGCCTTCTCCTTACTAAGGAGGAAGCTGAAACTTCATTTTATTTGTTGGATGAGGGAATTTTTCAGGTTGTTTAAAAAAAAAAAAAAAGATGGAGGAGGAGAACAGAGCTAAGCTTGGAAAACTTTATGTGGTCATCATCACAAATCCTCAGTATTGTATCTCTGAGCCCAGGCTGGATCGACAAAAGGTAGCTGGAGAGTAAGATTTATTAGTCTCTAAATGAAAAGATTCATTTGATAGAAGAGGTTAACTCAAAGTTGCTGCACGGTGACCAGCTTCCGCAAATGCCTCTCTGGAGTCAGTACAAATGCAGTTCTGAGAAGTCTTAAAAACATGCAGAGATCCAGACACACACACCGGCTTGCTCCCTTAAACCACAAATGCAATTCTCCTTTCTTTGTCATTTTGTATTATGTCATTACAAATCTCCAGCTTCTTTTGGAGGTGGCAGGGATCATCTATCCCCCCCCCTGCCATTTTGTATCTTTTTCTTTTATTAGCAGTCATTAAAAATAAGGGGGAGGAGAGAGAAGTAAAAGGGGAACAAGGAACTAATGCAAATAAAGCAAAAAGTGTGCAGATGAGGTGTGTGAAGGACAGAGCTGTAAGCGTGGAGGAAAGGGGGCTCCAGGTGGGAACAGGTGAACTGGGTGGGGAGGAATGAAGTGGGCTCTTGGACTGCCACTGATGCAAGCCTATGGATCTAATGAGAACCTGGCAGAACATGGGGTGGGGGAAGAATATGCCAGCAACAGTGAGAGGGGAGCAGGACAGAACAGCAGCCAGGACCAAGATTTTGTGGTAGGAGCTGACTATGGAGATGCAAATGAAGAAAAATTAACCTTGGGGTTGGGTCTGTGACTTGGGTCCTCCACTGAATGTCTGGCCGGGCGCTGCCAGCCGCTTCCCTCTGCACCAGAGAAATGAGATAATCACTCTCAAACTCACCAGGCTTGGTGCAGCAGACAAGCTCCGAGGAGGAGCGTGGGTCCGGGAGAGCAGAGAACAACCAGCTTCTCCTTCCAAAGAAAAGGGCAACAAATCAAAAACAACTAGAGGCACCATCAAGTGCAGAGAGCAGACCTGGAGAGGTGGGGAGAGGTGTTCAAATCCGGAGCCCCTCCCGGGTAGGACATGAAAGGAAGGGAAGTACAGAGTCTGGAAATGAGAAATACCTTCATGTCTCCTGCTCCAATCTGTCACCAAAGACCCTGGGTAACTGGGCCTCAGTGAAGCCACACAGGGATAAATGGATTTTATCTCCAGGAACATGGTCACTGGGCCACAGGATTATTGCTAATCCAGAGAAAATATAGTGTTTGTGAGGGGGGACATAAAAGTTGAAGAGGACAGACACAGAAACAAGCAAAGAAGAAATTCAAAGGGAAATTCTTAAAAGTGGCTCCCTGTGGCATACCCTGAGACATTAAAACACACACACACATACACACACGCATGCACACACATGCACACAAAGAGGAATTTTATTAAACAAGCCATCAACCAAACACACATCAAAAACACATTTTCTCTTCCTGTCATAAGGGAAAGGGGGTTTGGGAGGTTTGGGGTTCAGGAAGCGACCCATCTGGCCTTCACTGCTCAGGCTCCCTCTCCGCATATCCACGGAAACCCTGAAGTCCCTGAAAGACCAGGAACCCAGTCCGGGCTGCGGAGCAGGAGAGGACTCCCAGTTGCAGGCAAAGGGGTCGGGTTTCCAAGTAGAGACATCAGCAAACCGCAATCTTAGTGACAATGACAGCGCAAAATTATGTTTAATGTTGGAAAGGGGGAAAGGGAAATATAAAATTAGTGCAGCGAAAATGTTTCCCAGACCTCTGTCACAATTAGGGCAGCAGCATCTGTATGGGGATAACAGCGGGGGTTGACTGGAGAGAAGCTGTGACCCTGCAGGGTGACGACTGTGAGGAGGCAATGGCCCCTCCTGCCCCGAAGTCCTCACCACCTAGGAGGAAGAGGGTCTGCCCAATCCCTCCACTTGGTGCAGAATCTTTTTGGAAAAGGCACATTGTAGACTCCCATCCTGGTGGAGCTGACCTGCCTGCTCGGAGCCCAAGGCCCAGGGCTCCTTAATTAGTGATGAGGTAGCTGAGCTGATGGTTCAGAAGGAACTGGGCTAGGGGTGTCAGCACGGCCCCAGGCTCCTCCCCACCTCACAAGGTGGGAGGGAGAAGGTGCTCAGGGGATGGAAGAATTATTTAATAAATTAGCAGCCTCTCTTTGAATTTGCCATTAGCCCCAGCTTTGCAGCCACACACTGGTTGGCAGGATGCTGAATACTTCCCACAACATCCTTGGCATCCTCGGGTCTAGATGAGCTCTACCTCACCCTAACCAGGGCCAAGGCCAAGGCCGGGGAGCCCAGACCCAGGGAGAGCCAGTGGACATGCCAGCATTTGTTCAAGGAAGAGGCAGATTCTGTTCAATATAGACAATTATTCTTAAACGAGAGAGAGAAAGAGCGAGCAAGAGACAGAGAGAAAGAGAGAGACACACAGAGAGAGGATCCTTTTATTATTGTGGCTATAAAGAATATAATTAGGGCTGGGGATTTAGCTCAGCGGCATAAGCACCTGCCTTGCAAGCAGGTGGTCGTGAGTTCGATCCCCGGTACCGATAAAAAACATATATATAATTTTTCTTTTGTCTGGAAATTGTTACTATCGTGGTGATTAATGTCAGGCAAGGGGAGGGGAAAGAAAGAACAGTGAATGGAAAATTCATTTTCAAATGGACAAATTCAAAAAGAAATTATTTGTAAACCTAAACTTAAAACATAAAATAAAAGATGAGAAATCATAGTAAAAGAGAAGAGAGGAAGAAACGATGTTATTATTGGAAGACTGACCTGTGCTAAGAACTGGGAAGGGGAAGCGGAGGGAGAAAAGCTGGCATTTGCTGCTTGGTGGCCCCACAGCCCTAGGAAAACACCGGGAACACAGCCCTACCCAGGGTTATCATCTTATACTTTGCTTTTAGCAACAAGTATCAAAAGATCTAAACTAATTGATTGCCGAGTTTCTTGGCCTTTCTCCAAAGAGCAATATAGATTTAATTGTATGTTGCTTAAAACTCCATTTCTCGATCAGTGTGGAACATGTAATAAAAGTCATAAACCATATCAGAGATTTTTTCCCCACAAGCATAAATAACTCTACTGACACTTGAAAATCTTAGCTAATACTCCTAATAGGTTAAAAAAAAAAATAAAGCATTTGAGGAGGGAAGCCGCATAATGCAATCTAAACTGTTAATCCATTCTAACTTATTCAAAAGTCTCTGTGGTTGTGGGTGGGTGATTTTCCAGAAGAGGGGTCCCAGCGAGGAGACACCCCCACACATACACATACACCTGGCTCATTCCAATGCTTTCGTGCAAACCACATTTCCCTCAAGGAAAGTAGTCCTGCGATGCAACAAAACAAAACCCCCAAGCAAAACAAAATGCAAAAAAATAAAAAACAAATAACAAAGACTACCCAATGTATTTCCAGACCCTAGCGAACGGCTGAAAGTCGAAGCCCGACTGGGCTGCGCTGCCCAGCGCTCGCTGGCCGTGAGACAGGGAGGCCTCGGTGCAGAGTGGCCGCAGGGCTGCAGCCAGGCTTCCCCGGAGAGCCGCAGGTTGCTGCGAGGTGCCGGCCCGAGCGCTCCGGAGCTGCGCGGTGCCGGGGTGACTGCTTCTCCTGCGCCTGCCGAAGGCCCCTCCCCCACTGTCCTCGCTCTCCTGGACCCCAGGCAGCTGCTGGCATCTGCAGCCAGCCTCGGCGGCCCCTCGGCCAGGCCAGTGGCATCGCCGAAAAGGAAAGAGTCCCCGCCACGCTGCGCTTTGGAAAAGGCTCAGCAGCAGCCGCCAAGTTCGCGGCGGCCACCGAGCTGGCGGCTGCGCGCCTCGCGGGCCGTGCCCTGTGGCGACCACGCGGGCCGGCTGCAGGCGGAGAGCTGTAAAAATCCACGTGAGCCGCCCCCTCCTCCTGCTGCCCGCGGCCCCTGACACTGCAGCATTGAAGCCGGCCCGGAGGTCCCTGAGGTCTCCGAGTGTGACAGTACTCAACATAGCGGGTAGATGGCACAATTTTCTAACATTTAGAGAGAGGAACCCACGCTGGGAGCAATAAGTCCATTTAAAAGCCCTTTATTTAAAAGGAACAAAGATAACTGACAAGCGAAGTACAGAGACATCTCAATGAAATTTCCAAAGAAGAAAGAGAAATCAGAGGCCAAAGCAAATGCGTACTGGGCTTGATGGAACAGGCCAGCACTTTCCTCCCCCTCAAAAAAAAAAAAAAAAAAAAAGATAAAAGACAAAAAGGAGGAGGTGGTGGTCAATGGGCTGTGCGTTAATGATCGCAGTCCAAACTGAATTCTCAACGTCCACAGCCATAAGCACTTTCAAATGGCCCGGCGAGCGGGCAGGGGCAACCGGAGGAAAGCCTCATCTGTCTAGGGCAAGAGGCTGGCAAGGTTCACCCTTGTCTTGGAGGTGCCTCCCTAATCTTTGAGGACAGTCGCTTTGACTGCTTATATGTGGTGAGGTCCAGAGAGCCCAAGGAGGATGGGCACACTGACCCTCTATGAGGGCCTGAGGACTAGGGACCTCTGTTCAGAAGTGTCCTCTCTAAAATGGTGCCCGGGGCCAAGCCAAGAAGGGTACAAGGGAGCCCACTGAGGTCTCCTAGCAAAGCCAGGCCAGTCTCCACTTACTGCATCCTGAGCTCTGGTACCTCTACGGCCACTCCCCAGCTTCTGACCTACATGCCAGGTCCCCCACACCTGCCACAGAGAGACTGCGATCTACAGGCTGGCTGAAGACTACCAGAGGTCAAACTTGGAGGAGGCCTAGCACCGGCCCTGGACGACCTTGCCTGGCTGACCTGGCAGGAGGAAGCCGCATGGTGGCCAGCGCCTGCAGGGGATCAAATGATTGTATTTGGGTGGGTGCTCGCCCCAACATATTTGCTGAGTAAACCTCCCTCACTGTGCTGAAGGCGAATCCCCGTTGATAAATCCATCATTACCGTTTGGATTCAAGGAGGCAGCCGAGCCACTAAATTCATCTTACATTTGTAGCGCTTTAATAGACATTTATTAAATGCTTTCAGAGAGAAGCATGGGGCGCATGATTACATCCTAGTTATAGACAGAACATAAAGACCCACGTTAACACCCATTTGCACGAAGGAAGGAAGGGATGGGGGGATGGTAAGACAGAGGGGTGGAGGAGGAGAGGTGGGGCAGCCTGGGCACAGTGCCTGGGTGTTATTAGCAAGGAATGCCTAGTGGGGAGCCAGGTGAGAGTCCTGGGAAGTCTCCGGCTGTGGACCGAAGTATTCATTCCCCTCCAGTTTGAGGGTTTCCCTTCCAAAGTCCCCCTGCACTCCATGTGCAAGCATGTGTGTGTGTGAGGGCGTGCACATGCGCTTGCCTGTGTGTCTGTGTGTGTTGGAGGAGGGGGTTCATATTCTGTCAGGGCATACAGTTGCCACACGGCCTCTGCCCACCCTTTCTGCCCAACTGTCTACCCATTCCAGTCTCTGCAACTGTAACTCTTTGGAGCAGCCAAACTAGGAAGGGGTGAAGCCCCCACTCCAGGGTCCTGAGAACCCCTCTGAAGCATCCTCTCCATTTCTCCCTTCAACCATATAGCTACAGAGCCAGCCCAGGCCTCCTATACCATACAACAGATGTCCAGACCACCCCAGAGCAGCCCGGCTAGTTCCCAGGGCTCCTTGGCCTGGCAAACTTGGTGGCAGGATTTTTCCTTCTTCTGCAGCTGAGAGGAAACAATGCCACCTTTGCACCCTGACCATCTAGTGCCTGGGACTTCAGGCTGGACATGCCCGGGACCTGAAGGACTGTCAGGTCACCAAAGAGCCTGATGCTTTTCTGAAAGGCCCAAGGGCCCTCACCTAAAGGCCCCGTCCATTGCTCTGCCAGCTCTGCGGGCGCTCTTAGCTTGCCCTGGCTCTCCTGGGATGCAGGCGTGACCAGGATGGACAGCAGACTGCAGGACTCCGGACCGCCCTGGGTCTCGGTAAGGAGCACTTCCGCTATCTCAAAGTTGCCATAAGAAAATAAATACAAGTGACATTGTACTGGGCCAAAGCTCATTAGTTCGTTGTCCAGGCCTAATAAAGGAACAGAAGTGCAAATTATAGAGTTCAGCTTCAACACACGCTCTGTCACCCGAGATCAGCATACCGAGAGCCTGATTCCAATTGCTCCGAACTCGCTGCGCAGTCCGCCCCCACCCCCACCCCCAGCCCCTCCCTGAGAGCAGGAGGTTGGGTGGAAAAATATAGCTCCAAAGGGGGTAATGATCAAGCTTTTCCTCTCGGAAGCCTGCACCACCTCATTTCCCATCAGTAATCCCAATAAAATTAACGTCGTGGCTGCAATTGAAAAGAGGAGGGCCCGAGACACTCCTGAAATAACACATTCTCCCCCAGCAAAAGGTAAAAAGCAAAACGGCCCTTTGTTCAGCTAATTAACGAAGGCCCAACTCCGAAAGCAGATGTGTTTGCTTAGCTAATCACAAGCATGTTTCTTTCAAGAAACCTCATTTTGAAGGGGGTGGAGAGGGGACACCGCCCCCCACCCCCAGGTCTTCCCCACCCGGAGGTCTCTCACCCCAGCCTAAGATCCAAAGCTGAAGCAGGCGGCTCACCTCTCACACCTCGCTTCTCATCGGCCCTACCCTAGAGGCCCAGTAGGCAAGAACCTAGTCACCCGCCAAAGGCCAGACCTGCAAGACTCCAAGGGGAAATAAATAAATAAATAAAAAGTTTTAATGGCACAGATGCCACATCGAATGAGGCAATTTTACCATTCACTCCGAATAGGACGCTTACTTATTACAAGTGTGTTATCAGAAGGATGATAAGATTTATAACACCAGGAGTCAGCTCTAGGCCTTAATGACAATGGATGGAAGGGGAGGAAATCTCTATTAGGACATCAGGGCCCTTTCCCGTTGTCAGGCATTTTATGGATGCAGCCAGCAGGTCAGACACCAAGCCCTTTGTGTCTCCATGGGAAAGATTCTCCCTTTCTCTCGGACCAGGAAACCAGGTCTCCTGGTTGAGTTAGCACCTCGCCTAGCTTTACAGCGTGAGCAAGGGAGAGAAGAGGAAATGGAGATACACTTAAAGATGCAATGGAGGTGGGGTGCTGCGCGGTAATCTGCCCTCCAGTTCAAGCAGTAAATCTATTTTCCCCGTCTTCCTCTACCATACAAAAGATAGCTTTACCCTAAATCAATACAGTAAGCAAACTTTCAAAAACTGAGGTCCTATTTCAGACCAACGCCCAGCACTAACTGCTTTAAAATTACTGCATAATTAGATTTAGTTGAATTTCACCATTAATTAGGCAGCCGCACTGCAGGGCGCCTTTGAAATTTGAGAAAATGGGAAAAATCATCTGAAGCACGTTTTAAAAACCCAACTTCAATAAATCTTGACGAGGCCTAGAATTTAGAGTACCTTGCTCCCCTCCCGGGTGGCAGAGATAGGGCTCTGCCGGCCAGGGTTAGGGCCGGAATTGGACCTAGCGGGTGTGATTCCCCCTGCGGCCCAGAGCGAGGTCCGGGCCCAATCTACCGGTCCTAAAGAGGTCCTGCATCGCTGCATCTGGGAGGCCAGGCCTATCCCGTGCTCTCAACCCTATTAGAGAAAGAGGATCCGCCACCGCAGAAGCGTTCGTGCAAGAAGTGCACATTTTTCTGGGGTGCCGTTCACCCTCCCCCGGAACCAGCCCTAGGCCCCTGTTCACTATCACTCCCCAGGCCACCTTCCTCCCCGAAAGCCACCTTGCTTAAAACTTTGCTTTGCAAGTAGCAAGTTCTGCCTCTGTCCAGCGGGGTTCGCAGCCCGCACTCTCCTCCCTAGCGGGCTCCGGCCCGCGCCAAAGCCGGCGCAGCCCCTGCATTCATGAGAACCGACCAAAGTCTGCAAATCTCGCTTCTCCCCCTCCCCCTATACCAGTCAAACATTTAGGATCATTTGTGCATACAGACCCCCCCCCCCCACATACACAGTTTTTATTTGGTTCCCGGAAGACAGAGGACAAGATATCAACTCTCCAGAATAACGGGGGGGTGAGGGATGAGCTCGAGGGGGGCAGGAGGGTGCTGGGCTCCCTACGAACACTGTTGCTTTAACTACAGAATAATTGAGGACCGCACTCACTTGCCAAGCAGGAGTTTAAAAGAGGGTTTTCTGCCTGCAGACCCAACGGCCTGTAGCCCCCTGCGCCCACCCCACCCCCACTTTTTTTTTTTTTTTTTTTTTTTTTTGGTGACCAATGTGTTTCCTATTACCCAGCCTGCAGAGCCTGGCAGCCCGGGGCTCGCCGTGCACTGGGAGGCGCCATGTTGGCTCCGCTCATAGGACCAAGTCAAAAGCGAGCTGCAGGCAGAGTTTCACACGCTCCGACTCCGGCCGCCCCCGCCCCGCCCCGCCCCCGCCGGCCCCCGCCCCCGCCCCCGCCCGCCGCGCCCTGCACCGCGCACATCCCAGGAGTGCAGTCCGCGCGCCCGGCACCCCGCACTTCCCGGGGCGCTGGCGGATCGCCGCCGTACGTAAGTGGGGGCGGGGGCGGGGGCCGGCACTTCCCGCAGCTGCTCCAACTCCAGGCCCCGGTGCTGCCCCGGCCGCCGGCTGCTGAGCCCGCGGACCCAGCTCCGGACGCCGCCTGCTAACTTTGAGCTCCGGCCCCCGGCGGCCCGGGAAGAGCTACTGGGGAAAGGCCGAGGCGGGGCGCCGCCAGGCCGGCGGACCGCTGGAATCCCCTCCCGCCAGCTCGGGCTTCCCCCAGGTTCGTTTTGAAAGTGGCCAGAAGCAGGGATCGCCCCTTTCTCTCCTGCACTATTGTTGCTTTTCGCGTCTAACTGGGTTCTCTCACACCCCCAAGCGCCAAGAGGAGGAGGGGGGAGCGGGCTTGGGAAAAGAAATAAAGCGAGCTCTGATCAGATGTAGGAAAAAAAAAAAAAAAACAGCAAGGAAAAAGAGACACTTAAAGGGAAAGAGTCGCCATGTTTAGCAGCTTTTTTAAAGATCTCGTCAATTTCACACAGAACGCACTAGCTGAGTCCCAGCCCTCGTCTTTTGTCCAATTCACTCGCAGCAAAGATCTTTTGTTCTAACTCAGCGTGAAAAGAGAAACTTTCTTTAAATGCAATAAACTTAAACCGAACTCAAGACTCCAAACAGACCCTCCTCCGGCCACTCTAAACATATACAAGGGATTTTGTGTTAACCGGTCGAAAAATTCTTTTTTTTTTTTTTTTTCTTTTTTGCCTCGCAGACCCCAAGCTCATTGAACCTTAGACTGAGATTTCAACGCCTAGAGCACATGCTTAAAGCATAATAAAACAGGGACTGTCTTTTGCTTTGAAAATCATAAATTATAATTTAATGCCAATAATAATTTACAACAATGGCTGTTTACAATAAACTAACAAAACAAACAAGGAAAGGGCCTGTGTTTTACTTATAAGGAAAACTTCACACACTCACATGGATAGCACTTGCGAGAGGAGAAAATAACCAAGAAAACCTCCATCTAAAGGTCAAAGATACTGTGCTATGAGAACATACTTATACTTAGGGATGTATATATCTACAGAAAGAAGCTGGGAGCCAGAGGGAGAAGTCCGCTCGAATGCACAAATCAGATTTTTCTGGTCTGCATGTATTGACTAGAAGTGAGTATCAAAGTTTAATTCACTTTACAAAATGATCCCTTTTCTTTAGCCTCCTCACCAGTACCCCCTCCCCAGGTTAAGATTCAATCACAACATGGTAAAGTATATCTCAGGGAGGGCAGCTTGAAAAGTCTCAGTAAGAACAAGCAAGCTCCCAGCACTAGGAAAAAAGCAGGGGGGGGGGGGAGAGGCTTAGACAAATAGTTACTGCTTCCAAATCAGCACACCCTGTAAAGTTTTCTTCTTTCTTGCCCCCCCCCCTTTAATTTGACTTCTAAGGACAAAGGATCCCAGAGCAGCACAGATTGTATCTACACAATCTGAAATGTCCAAATGTCGAAGTGTATTTATGTACATAACTCCAATGGAGAAGATTCCCTTGACCTGTGGTCAGGCTCTCACAGTCTGAAGGTAAAGGAGGAGGGGAAAGACTGCCCAACTGCAAGTTATCATATATACATGAAAAGCAGACCCTTTAGCGCTGTAAGCTTTGTCACTCAATTTGAAATCCTCTCAACAACCATGCTAGATGAGAACCACAGAATATTTTTTTAAAAATCACACTACTTAAGGAAAAACTCATTGCAGACAACTGCCCTCTATTTCCAATGCTGTGATTAGCTTGCTTGAATGATTTTCTGCATAACTGTCAGAAATGTACAAAAGAGTATTTTTCCTGATCATAAAATAGATACTGATCTCAAGATTTCTAATACTTTTCACAATACCTTTCCTAAGCAGGCACTTAAGTGTGACAAATATAAGGGCCTTTTTTTTTTTCCTGGAAAATCCATTTTTAATTAAAAGGAGGATTAGGTGAATGGGGGTGGCTTACTATATCAGTGTGGCACTTCCTAAACCACAGATAAACCATTAACTTCAGCCCCCCCAACACACACCCAAATTAAACAGGCAAATATTCTAGTCCACCTTTGGACAAACTCACTGGGGGCAACAAACAAATGAGCCCCCCCCCAGCCCCCCAGCCGGCTCAGGCCCCTCCAGAGCTCCTAGGGGCTCTTCTCCATGGACAGACAGTGAGTGGGGACCGCCAAGCAGGTTTCAGATATCAAATAATATTTTAATTTCTGAATACTTTCAATTTTCCTTGAATATAACACACAAAGACTCGACCAAACAGTTCAGTTATTATAACTTTTACAGTATACAGAAATGTTGCACTTAAAAAAAAACCTTCAGTTTTTTAAAACACAAACTGTAAACTCTAAGATACTGAATCAATCACGTTACCTATAAGTGCCAACAGTGTTATTTTGTCATGCTGATTTCAATGGTATTTTTTAAAAAGGGAAAATATCAACAATTATAATACAAAGGGCTGGCAAATATACAAACAGAGATAGGATTTTCCGTAACAATTCAAGAACTAAGAGGGAACCCAATTCAAATTACAAAAGTTCACTTTTTATTCAAAACCTCAGCATGTGTCTTGGACACATTCCTTGGCTGCCAATAAATTCCACAGTTCATTCTCTTTCTTAAAATATTTTTAAAAACTTAGGTCTGCTGTGGTGTCTTTGGGGGGCAAAGGGAGGGTAGGGGAAATTAAGTATTGTATGTGGTTCCTCCCAATCTGTAATTAGAGTGTTCAACTCCACCTTCAATTTTTGGTCACCACTTGTAAGTGCGTTTCCATCATCTTTGAGTTGCTTTTTAAAGTTTTATGTCTTCCTATGATAGTTTCATGGACTCAGTTTTAATTCTTGCAGAACATATATTTTAATGATACACAGTTTTTAAGAAGCCAAGATTATATCAAAACTTATTATAGAACCACAGAATAAACTGGTTTGGAACCAGAAAAGTACAAAAAAAGAACAGCTAGAGGTACAGAGACACAGGACAATTAATAATTTGGAAAAAAAAAAAGACTTACTTCCTCCATTCTGCTAATTTTCTCCCAATCTCCTTAAATTCACTTTTAGCAATATTTTTCAAAAATTTACCAAAAAAAGAAAAAGACTAATTTCCTTTTTATACAAAAATGATAAGTAGCAAGTTTTTCTGACCAACACAGAAGTTTTTAATGCATTCTGTAAAAGTTCATTTGACAGTCTTTTTTTTTTGAAATTCACAGTCCATTAAATTCTTCCCCTCTCTTCTTTTAGCAAATGTGTAACATCCTTTTATATCCTTTCTTAACAGAAGGAAATTAAGCAAACAAACCAGTCTTTTGCCTTTTCTTTCTCTGTGTCACTCCCCCTTATTATTTTGATTTATTTATTTATTGAATTGCCATATATGGCCAGTTAAAACTGCTGCCGGACAGTAACATATCCCGGATGAGGGTTTCGATGGGGGTTTTACCTACCAAACGGACGAAAAACAATTGCTCTATGACTGAGGAGGACACGGTGCGGAGGGAAGGCAGGCGAAGCAAAAGCTTTCCGAATCGTGTTGGCTGGTTGGGGTACTGGCTCCTAACGTACTCTTCCAAAGCACACTGAGACTTTTCCTGCAAGCTTTCCACATGGGCTACATCAGAGAGACCACAGGCATCTGGAAGAAAAAGAGAGAGAGAGAAAAAAAGAAGAAAAGGAAGGAGAATTCAGTCATCAGATTAAGAGGTTTGAAATGGTCACATGAGTCGTGCGTTCACAGTGCTCTGTCAAACTCAGGTTTGGGGCAAATGCCTATTTGCAGTGAAAACCTGGGAACTGGGGGGAAGAAAGCCTGAGATGAGGTCCTGGAGTGTTTGCCTTAACATAAAACACAGCTCAGCTCTCCCTGCCCAGTCCTCAGAAGGGATCCCTGGGAGGCTCCAATAGACTTGCACTGGGTGAATCTGGCCCAAGTCAGTACTCAGACAGACAAACAGATGAAACCAAAACTGCCAGCGCTTCTCTCCCTCATCCTCAGTAAATAACAGTTTGGATTATAATTATATAGTGGTCGTGGGGTGGGGGACAACCTGGCCCAGGCTCCAGTAATGGCGTCCACAGGCCAGCCTCAGAGTCTCCCCAAAGAGGGCGACTCATTTTTCTCCAGTCTTTGAAACTGATTTAAGTGGCCCTTTAAAACTGATCTTGTCAGTTTAGCCTATTGAAGGGCAGCCATGCAAACTGTGATCTCTCTGTTCATTTGAGCTGTTTCTTTTCCCTCTTTTCTTCTCTCTCTCTTTTTCTCCCACCCCCTCCTTTATTTTTTTTTTTTTAACCCAGGTCCCTCCAAGAAGCAATCCCCCGTTCTCTGTTATCTTCAGGAAAACACTTTTCTTTTTCTGATACGTGAAAATACAATAAGTGCCTTTGAAATGAGAGGCTTCTTGGTGAAGGCGGTTCAGGTGGTGACCTGACCTTTCTGGGCTCCCCAGACAAGACTGGGGTTAACACATGCATATTGTGAATCATTAAAACAGATATTCCAAAACAGTCACCACCACCTCCTCCCCTCAAACCAGAACCAGCTGACCTCCTCAAATCCATGTCTAGGACTGTACATGTCTACAGAATGCATAGGTGTCTGTGGGGAGGAATTTCAGGATGTTTGCCTAGTACATCCCTCTCTGCATTGCTCAGTGAGGCTCCTTCTGCATCAGATAACAGCCACCTTTATCTCTTTGTGAGGTGATTTGCATTCTTCACACAGGCCTCCACATTTTGCAAACAGTAATAAATTAAACTGTATCAGTCATTTCTTTCCTTGAAAGACCAAGGATAAGGGGAACAACTAAGGATGATATCAAGGTATTAACAGCCATGGCCATGGTC